GGAAGAGAGGGAAGTATCCTATTTTACAGTGATTAGAGCTATTCATCTCTGATCTTTGCATTGCCAATTTGCAGTAATATTACAAAGTCAAGTGTGGAGTGAGCATTAGTGTGTATAAGGAACCGTACTGATTTAAATGTAAACAGAAAGGAACACTTATTGAATTACTTGATTCAGGCGTTCAAAATTCTAGATAGTGTAACTAATATATTTTTTCCTCCTCTTTTGCAGGTTGTAGCACGTACCGAGAAGGATTCCCATGTTATTGCCTTTTCACATGAAGTGGTCCCCTGCCCAGTGACAGCTGATATGACATTACCTCAGCTATTAATGAAAATGTATGAAGTATGTAAAAACAGAAGACAAAACAAAACCTCTACTGCTAATATCACAGTTTAGATGTATCTGCAGTAGTTGCATTCTGTTTTCTGTGTTTCTTTTATGTTTGTATAGTAAAACATTTTGGATATTTTTTTTTACTTCCCTTCTACTTAAAGCAAATCTAACAATTTTCAGCTACCTAAAAATTAAACATTGCAATTAGAATGTCAGTTAGTTCACAGTGATCTCATTGTTAATTAATTTGAAAAGGATGCCTTAAAACAACTGGACAGAACTGAAGTGAAATGAGTAAGTGAACTGAGGTTCAACAAAGAAACCGCTGTATAATAAAATATGAAGCTTATGTAAAACATTCACTGCTTACCAATTTCTGTACTAATGTGTTCTATGAGTAATATTTTCTTTTTCTTTTGTCCTTAGATTCCAATGGGTACCACGGATTGTTCCCTTCCCATGATATGGGCTCAAAAGACGCAAACAGCTGCTGATATCTTTATGGTATTTACTGATAACGAGACCTTTGCTGGAAATACTCATCCTGCAGTGGCCCTTAGGGAATACAGGGAGGTAAGTAAGTGTCTGGCTGCTTACAGTTGAGGCATATGGTGCAAAATAAAGACTTGTTGTAAAAACATTTTAGGGGCTTTATTAGTTGTGGCTGTATGCAGTAAATATTAATCTAAGTGTTGCTAAAAAAGGAAATATTCTACAACAAGGTAGAGTTAATAGCAGTATTCGCATATATTTGAACTCATTAAATTGCTGTAAGAATTTGTATTGATCTTACATTGCTGTGAATACTGGAATATCACTAAAAATGTATTTTGTATTCAGCAAATGTCTGCATTACTGTATGCTATATCTAATTGATAGAATCATTTGTTGGATAATGAAATTCTGCTCACAGAATATTAAAAATTCAACTTTGATCCCTGGAGTAGATTTCACAAAGTTGAATGAAATAATAAAATTAGCCCATAGGGGAGTTGTCAAGAGGATGAGGTGATAGCAAGCTTGGAAAAAGAGCTCATTTATGTTTTTAGGAGGCTACTAAAGTTTAAGTGTAGCAAGCTCCTATTCCTTAGAAGTTTTTCATTCTTTATAACATCTGTAGACCTTTTCTTCTAATATTGCTTGAAATTAAGCTTCTTAAAAAATTTCTACAAATAGATATATATTACAGATGGTTATTTGAACAGGAAACAGTGTTTTATGCTTTATGAGAACTATTTATCAATTTTTTGCAAACATACATGTTTGGGAGGACATGTCCAGCCAGTTGAAATTAATACTAAGATCTTTATCTCACTTGATGGGTCCTTGTTACAGAGTTCTTCTGTTGAGATTAGTTCTCATTCCTACATTCGTGCCTTAAACAAAGAGTTCCTGTTCATACAGCGTTCATACCACATGCTTTGAATTACCTTACAGACTACGGTCCTGCAGATAGAGCTCATCTAGCTAAATCGTCCAGGCCAAAACTGTTGTATTTATTTAACTAACACTTGGAAATTGTTGTTTTAGATAAAAATACACTCTTTTGATGCCTCCTTGATTATTTGATAACTCTTACAGAAAGTTTTACATTGTAAATAGTCTATGAATCTTAAAATTCTAGTAAAGTCGCGTTAAAATACCTCACTGAAATTATTTCAATTGTCACAACATCACTAGTTTCTATGAGGATGCATTTTCAAATAGTGAGGGATAGGAAAGTACTCTGCAATGTTCCTATGTATGTGGCTTCTGAAAATATCCTTTTTCTTTTGTCCCTCTAGAATATGGGTATTCCTGCTAAACTTATTGTTTGTGGAATGACATCGAGTGGTTTTACTATCGCAGACCCGGATGACAAAGGCATGTTGGATATATGTGGCTTTGATTCAGGAGCTTTGGATGTTATTCGAAACTTCACTTTGGATTTGATTTAATTTTGTTAGCATCTGGTCTTCCCAGTGGGTCCATTGCTGGGAACTGACTTCACCCTGGGAACTCCCAGCCAAATATGCTTTATTAGAATATGGCACAGCATATACATATCAGAACGTTACCTTCTTGTAAAGGGAAAACAAGAAAAGCAGATGAGAAATCATTTCTTCTTTTCCTGTTGCACACAGTATCAAGTAACAGTGGGAAGCTTGCTAAAAGTAGCTACAGGGTTACATAATATGTAATTTAATTTCATTTATAATAGTGTATGAATACAGTGCTTTTTTATTATTATATTTTTTCCCTCCTGTCACTTTGGAATGCTTTTTTGCAAAAGTAAATTGATGAGTTTCTTCTGGGATGGGGCATAAAAGTGGGTTAGTCTTTTAATAATGTCAGTTTAACAACTCAATTGGGAGGGATTTTTCTTTTTCCTTCTTTTTTCTTAATCTTTGTATTTTAAACAAGTTACTACGGTTCAAAGTACTACAATTGAAAATGCTGTGTCTAAAAAAGACATGTTTTCAGGCACATGTGAGACCATGTAACTGTGATGCAGTATAAAAGATACCTGATGAAATTTTATACTGATAACACTGAAAGTAGCAGAACTCGTGGTAATCCTTTCTCTTAGAAAGATTATTATCTGGATTTTCAGGATAAAATGTTATTTTTTTAATATGAATTGAGGAATAAGTACAACAGTTTCAGAAGTGCTGTTATAAAATTGATGTGCTTTGCAGGAAATTTAACAAACTTGGTAGTAGCGAAAGAGGTTGGAAATGACTTGGAAGGCAGATTCAGCACCCGTTTCAACTTCAGGTAGCATCAGAACACTTTCAGTGAGGAAAATCAACAAGTGCATGTGTCTTAACTTACTCTTTAAAGTTAAGTGGTAACAACCAGAAACAAATCAGTTCCGTTTTTAAGAGAATAATGTATTTAATGATACAGAAACAAATTTCTTAACAAGAGTATATGATTTTTTATCTCTTTATAGATTAATATTACTTCTGATTTCTTAACCTAACATTTTTCAAAACTACCTCCAGTTTATAGTGAGCACTTCTTTTTTTTTTTTTCTGAAATGTACAGTTGCCTCCTCCATGTTCTCAAAATCTTGTTTAGGAAGAGATTGAAACTGGATTTTTTTTATTTGTTTTTAGTCTGATAGTAAGAAGATAGTAAGGAGAAAGTAAGGAGAAAGCTAGTGAATTTCTTAGCCCTTTGGGACAGGAATTGATAGCAATTCATGTGTATGCGTATTTAAGTGTGTATGTGTGTATGTTTGTATGTGAGTTGGGGGGAATTAAAGGATCTCTTCAGTGGATCACAAATTTAGATGAAAGGGGTTTTTTTAGTGATGTTTTTACACAGTCCCTTAAGACGTATGTATGTCAGTCTTTCTAATGCCAATTCTGGCTCTTTTAAACACTGAATTTGTTGTTAATTTGAAAATGACTATAGCTTATGATAATAAGCCTATTGTGGTAACTTGCATGAAGGACCATTATTTTCTGCTTAAAAGAAAAAAAAAGACTTTTAAATGTAAAAAACTGACTGTAAATTCAAAGTTTTGCATTCCGTAGGATGGATATCTTCTTTGGTGCTATCTAAAATGCAAAATTGATCGTATGTTGCTGCAAGGATTCTGCTATGTACTCATACTGTACTAACAAGTAAAGTAGTGTGGAAAGCCTCGTGTGACATGAATCTCCAAAAACACTATTGTTTCAAAACTAGGGCTTAACAAATTGATGGTAGGAGTGTGAGCTTTCAGTGCAGATGAGTGTGGTTGCTTCTGGATTATCATGGCTATTAAAATACAGCTGTGATAAAATGCTTGAAGACTGCAGGATTAACAGGAAGACTGCAGGACTAACAGGAATTTTTCAGGTGACACCCCCAAAATAAAAGATCCTACAAAAACTGAGAAATAGCACTTCGAGTTTGAAAATTAGCTACTTTCTCTTAAAAGTTTTTACCAATTTTAGTAACCTTGCTAATTGTGAATATGGTCACCATGAATATGGGGAACAAACTGACTTGCTCAATGTATGTTATTCCAAGTAAATGCACTGATGTTTCAGGCCTGTTTATTTGGCACTAATATGTTTTAAATGATGAAAACATGAAATTGCTACCCAAAACAATCTATTTGGATGTTTAGTGCGAAGCTAGACATGTTGAAAATAGCAGGTAGATATGTACTTTTTAAAAGTATTTTTTCTTATGTGAAGTAGTATTTGTGGAGTAATTAGTATTATTTTGGACTAAATATGGAAAAAAAATCTAAATAACTTTGTGCAGTTTTTACATAAATTTACTGCAAATAAAAGTGCGAGCTTAGACTAATCAGATTGAAGATTTAGAGTAGTGCTGCATCGTTGAAAGCAGCCCGCTTTAAGTACAAATACTTGAAATAGAGTTAAAGTGATGGTGAAAATTTCAGTAGGACGTTTAGAAACTGTAACTCCTTGTATCTCTCGACATTGCATAGCTCTGACAGCTGTGTTACAGATTGTATCCTGTCGTCCATGCTGGAGTCCCTAATGTGCTCGAAGGCATTTCACCACGTTCTCTAAACTAAAAAGTACCATTGTGGCAGAATACAGTATTCTGAATGGTTTGGCTGTACTAATGTAAAACTAGCACCAATGAGACCATGTTGTTTTCTGCCCCCGCCCCCAGCTTTCCCAGGGGTGATTATGTGTAGAATTCACTGCTTCCTTCTCAGAAAGATGAAAACAGAAATTAAAATTGTTTGTCTTCGTAGGGGCGTTTTCTGAGCTTCACAGACATGTGTCTGGCAGGTGTTGGGAGCAGTGCAGGATGGTTGATGTTACCTGAATCATTTAAGGTTTCCACATAGAAGAAACACTGAAGTAAGTGCTCACAGCTGAAACTTCGCAGCCTGTGCACTGCCCCTTGTCCCCACCATTTTCTATCTGTATTGTTAGTGCCCTACAGTGAGGAGTGTGCAATATGATGCTGTATATTCTTTATCCTTAGACTGGATCTTTTTCATCTGTCCATATGTTGAGGCTTGGAGGATAGCGTGACTCACTTGCCATAACATAAATTTGTCTTGGTTTTAGTTTTTAATTATTATAATTAAACTGTTGTTTCTCCAAAATGATATACAGACATGTAAGGAGGCAATAATTACTGTAATGCTTAAGAAGAAGAAAAAGAAGGTGAGCTGAAGTAAAGTTGCTAAACTTCGGAGTTAACTGAGCATACTGTAAGCCACTTCTTTCACCAGTCAGGAGGCAAGACCCTTAAAAGTCAACGTTGTTTGCATTGGAGGAAGCCTTTGGCGGACAAAACAAAAGAGGGGCTATAATGCACACTGCAGTTTATCAGTAAAAATAGAAAAATACAAATATTGTGATAACTTTATTCAAAATTTGTAAGTCTCAGTGCAGACTGCAGATGTAGACGGGGTCAACACTGGTTTCCTGATGTCTGACTGAATTACTAGGATGTCAGTCTGACATTCATTTCATTGTGATGACATTAACAGTTCTCACAGTCTTAGACATAGTAGTCTAATACTCTTTGTATTCAGGCACTTTAGCTTTAAGAAAAGGATGTAACATTTAGAAGCACAGGAGAGGTATAACAACCATCTGTCCGGAAGGCTGTCACTGCTGGACTTCAGAGACCAGGTTTCTGCATGGAGTGATGCAGTCAAAGTGCGGAGACGGGAGACACTAACCCGAGCTTTCTTAAGAGTTGTTTAACACCTACATCAGCTTTGTGTAATAAACTGAATAAGGACCAATATCTTTGCCAAGAATTAGAATTTTTGCCAGATATTTTGAACCTTTAACAATGAAGAGGAGAGAACTTGTATGCAGGCAATATAGGTATCTTTACAATCCGGTGGGATTTTTTGTTTTGATTTTTATTCATCTAAACATAAGCTAGTTTTTCAGTCAGCAGGGCCAGTCTGCTTAACTGACCACTGTGCAATGGCCACTATAACTAGGCATAAAATTACTTGCTGCTTAAAACCACTTTTAAACGTGTTTGATAAATATAATAATTGGACTTTAGTTTTCTTTTTGTATTTTTTTGGAGGGAGTCCATAAATGAGTTTGTCTTTAAAAGGTCCATAGGCAATAAAGTATATATTCTTGGCTTTAAAAGTTCACAAGTGGTTTTGGAAATGTATTTTAATAATAGCTTTATCTAAAAAAAAAAAAAAAAAAAAAACACGAAAACCACTAGCAAAATGTCTTTCTCCACTCTAAAAATGTCGTGCTGCTTAATGATGCATCTCTAGCTAGTAGCAAGCCAGATCAGAAGCGTTGCTATTGGTTCCAGTTCCTTTAGCTTCCCTCTTACCTTTTCTCTTTGTCCTTTTTTTGCCTGTTGATGTTGGATTTTTTTTTCCTTTCCCATCTCCTTGACACCTCTCATTTACACTAGACTTTCATTTCCCTTAAAACTTATTCATGTTTTTCGTGCTTCTGTTCTTAGTCTACCTGTCTAGAGGGGCACATGGTGATGCTGGCTTAGCTGCGTAACTTGCACTAAACCTGACATCATATTGATTTTAAAAAGTAGTCACATTTTTCTTTTTTTTTTTTGTTTGTATAAATCCCTCAGAAATATTAAATTTGCTGTATCAGTCCATTTTTTATGGAAGTAGATAAGGAACAGTAGCAGTTTTTTTCTGAAAAAAATATTTATATTAAAAAAAGTGGATTTAGTCTTGTAAAATAACCCTTTCGTATTGGCTTGCGTAAATTTAAAGCTTCTCTCTAGCATTTGTTCAGTGGGCAGGAGCTTTCCATTCTGTTGAATATTAGCAAGTTGCTGTTATCTACAGACAGGGAAATGTTTAAATGGATATTCTTGATACATGGGCAACTTCTTTGCAGTATTGGATAGAGAAAATTGTTAAAGAATAGTATGTGGATGCAAACCTGAGCAAAGATGCATTTTTGTTTTGCTTTTAGACAGCATTTAATTGGGCTTATGGGTTTTTTAGCTATTCACAGTGGTTCACAGTGGATAAATACGCTGTAAGTAAATTGTTTCAAGGATTTATGGCTGGAAGAAAGGGGTTTTCATCACATTGTGATAGAACATAATATATAACACTGAGTTAAGGGTGATGGGGAAAATGTAAATCCCAACAATGGTATGTGCTGCTCTGAGTGCTAAGATTAAGATGAGCCATTATCAGCAGGAGCTATAGTGTCTTCAGATATTGTCTATCCATTAGGATTTATATTTCTGATACTGTAAACTGAGGGTTTTTTTTTTCCCCTTTAGGTATTTCTGCATTCTGAATTTAAGTTTAAAAATATATATGCATATGTATATATATGGCACATAAAAAATTAAAAAAATGCTTCATTAAGAAATAATGAGCAGAAATAGCTGTTTTGCTATTGTTACCAGCTGCTTAGTTAAGCACAAAAGTCTATTCTATTACATTCTTGTATAATAAGTGCAGTTCTACTCTTAAAAATGAAAAAAAGCAGCAACAGATGTTGCGTGTAGAAGCAGCAGATCGGTGCATTCACAGCTCCCTCCATCTGCTGAGTCCAATAGCTTGAGATGTTTGTACCCAGCTTCTCACATTTCTTAGGAGGAAGGTATTTGGGCTGGATGAGCACATATGTCCTAAATAGCATCACTATTATAAATCTAATTGCTATTGCAGAATCTTTTAGTGGGTCATGTTTAGCATTGAGATTCCAAGTTGAATATGTGAAGGCAAACATTATTTTAAGAAAAAACAGCTTTCTCTTGGAGATATTCCTAAACAAACAAACAAAAAAATACAGACGTCTTTAATGACAATATTTGAATCCATTTTTTCAGAGTAGAATCACACTTTAGCTGCCATATCATGTTTAAGTAACTTAAATATAATGGGGCTTTTTGCCATCCACAAATGAAGGCACCGTTGCTGCTACTTTCTATGAAATGGTACAAAGTTAATGAGAAAACGTTTGGATGGGGAGCCTTAACATTGTAAAAATAATAAGTCTAATTAACCCTTTGAGTGCCTTAAGAGATACTTAACTTTAATAAATGGGCACTCATTAGTATCTGCAGGCATATTACATGCTTTCTCAGTTGTTAATGAAATTTTGCCTTAGATGACAAAGTCCTGACATTCCTGAACTGCAGAACTCAAAGGGTTATTTTAGACTGTTTTTTTTTTTCTTTTTTTCTAAATGAGGAATAAAATGACGAGTCTTTGAAAAATTCCTTTTTTTTTTTTTTTTTGGTTGCATAATGGATTTACCAGCCTTCAAGTGCAAAAGCTAATCTGAAAAAAACCATAACTGGCCTAAAAATTCTATGTGTATACTTGGTTACCAGCATATGTGCAAAATAAATTGTGTTAGTAATTGTGGATTTAAGGGAGAGATACATTTATATGTGTTTAACTTGATGAGTGTGTCCTTGTAAACAATTTTAATAAGGCGGTGTTGGAACTAGCAAAATGTAGTAAACTGCAATAATGAAGATATAACAGGGTCAGTGTGTTTAGTTAGCTCATTACATGTGTTAAAGATGCACTGTGCAGAGAAGTTTATATTGAAGACTTTCTACAAGTTAATACATGTATTTCACACTTGCATCACAAATAATGAATTCTTCAAATTCAGGCTTTTTTTTTAATATTTCAGTTATCTGAGCTGAAGATAAATTTGATACTTTATTTTCTTGAGGGAAGAAAGTAGTTTGGATGCTTGTGGTACCCAAAACGAGACTACAGGAGCCTTATTCACAAAAAGTGAATACAACTTAATTGACTACAAACTTTTTATTCTTCAACTGTGCACCTTTAATAGTGTAATGGTCCCTTTTCCATAAGGGAATATATTTTCCTATTTGCAATGAACGTTCTTAAGACACCAGTCTTGGCATTGCCTGGTCTGGCTTTGGATGTACACTATACTGAAACAATTGTGTTTTTATTGGATGTTTAACTGCAAGTGAAAATTGCTAGTAAATTGCATTCTGACTGTAGAATTTAACTATGTAATAAACTCTATGCATACTAGACCCATTTTACTTGGTTTTAAGTTTTATAATGATGTCAGCTTAATACTAATCTGTTATGGTGCTCTGTAGTTCAGTGTTGAGCTGCGTGGCTCCCCCATGAGAATAATCCTGAATTACTCTGTATTTAGACTAGTAAGTCACGGTGTAAAAATGAAAGCAATTATCTAGTCCTGTAAAGCTACAAGAACCTTTTTTTACTTTTTCTCTTAGCACTTGGACTTACACTTTAGAAACTGAAATATGATGGAGGCAAAGGACTGAAGGCAGGTACCCCTGGTCTGTCTCCAGAGGTGTCAGTGATGGCTGGGCTCTAGATCTTCCAGGGACACTTACAGCTACACAAAGTTATCAAAAAAGTCCCAAGGTTTGGAGTGGAAGATCTCCCAGAAAAGACCTTAAAACAGGATAAAAATAAGCTAGTTTTAAAACAATCATTTTCTTGCACTAGAAATAAAGTCTTTGTCCCCCAGTCATGTTTCAGAGCAATTAAAATAAAGGACAATGACTTCAGAATTTTTTTAATACAGATTAAAACTTTTTTTTTCTGTTTTAAGTAGAAATTGATTTGGCTGCAATACTTACAAGTATTGGAAGTATTACAAGTTCTGAAAAAATTAAGTTCCAAGAAGCCCTCCATCACGTGATAATTTAGCACGTGTTTAACACAATACAAAAATTACAAATACAAAATCTCATAGATGAGGTAAGGACATGTGTTTAACAAATACACAATACAAAAATTACATAATACAAAATCTCATAGATGAGGTAAGGTCCTATAAAAGCTTAAGGATGCAGTTATTTCCAGATGCACCACTTAAAAGTCACTGCAACTTGGCACTTACATAAATGGTGCCTATTCAAGAGAAAAGTAAACCTATTTCCTGTAATACCAGCATCCTCTATTAAAAGATGACTGGAGGATTTCAGAGGGCACTTTCTAATTCCTTATGAGTGTCTTATTTCCATAATTTAAATATACAGCAAAAGGGCTGGTGGCAAATTCATAGAATTACAATTTAATCTGAGTAAAAACAAAGAGTCTAAAGTAGCAGAAAGATGTAGAATAAAATTATACCAGGCTTTACATATAGTAACATCACTACAAACTTGTTAGTTGTTTTGCTTTGTACTTTCTTCATGATGACCATTTGATATTCAGAGAAGAAATGAATGTAAAAGAATGATTCAACAGAGCTTTGACCATTTATTGTAATTATGCTGGAACAAAATTAGAAAGAAAAATTAGAAATTAATTTGCAACATAAAATACAGGATTCTTCAAAAATTCAGTGCTGTGCAGCAAATCAAGAGAAGTTTTGTAGGAAACGGCAACGCAGGTCTCATTATCCATTTCCCAGGCACTGGTATAGTATTTTTCTAACACATAAATCTATATTTCTCTGAAGCACAGTATCAGCAATGAAAGATACCAGCTATGAGACATCATCACTTAAGAACCCCACAAGGTAGATGGATTTTATCACCATTTTGATTGTGGTAAAACTGAGGCAAATAGACCAAAAAAAAATGCCATGCCCATGAGTTCTGTGTCAGAAAATCATCTCTGGTTCAGAAAGCTGCATCTTGACATCCTGCTATGTCCTGGTGCATAACTCTGTTCTTTTAATTTGTCTGAAATTCTAACTGTGCAAAAGGCTAAAAACAAAATAATCCAGGCTAGATGGCTGTTTACAATTTTCCTCTCAGTTGACATTGATGAACTAACGGAAGCAGCTTGCCTTCCTCATGAAGTCTTTGAGTATCTGTAGCACCTCCAACAAAAGTCCCATTGACAAACACCCTTGGAACCTAGGAAGCATAGGGAGATTGCACCAGTTACTTTTAGGAAATAAGATAAAATTTTTATTAATCTTAAAATCTTAGTTTATGTTTTAGTGTTATCATATGGTTCATATACATTTTGATAACATTTATGAAGAAAACTTTGTTAACATCTCATACACCACTCAAAAATGCAGAATTAGTAGTAGTAGTCCATGAAGGACGTATCTGCAACATAATGTCTGTCTTTGCTTATACCATCTAAGAAGATATACTTACTGTTCTGCCACCCGTCATTTGCTCGAGAATATCTTGGAACTGACTTCCATTTTTATTCACATCGAGTTCTACAACTGTGTAATTTATATCCAAACCATCAAAAAGCTTTTTTGCCATTTTGCAGTAGAAACATGTTGTTTTAGAGAAAATTACAACACAGTTGTCTGAAATAATCTCCTGTATATTCAAAAGAAAGTTCAAATCAGTGTGCTTTGTAATTAAGTCCATGCATTTTAACATTGTCTAACAGTCACAAAACAAATAGATAAATCTGCTAATATGGTATCAAATACAGGAAAATTACTCCCTTTAAAGGTTTTCTAGGATTTTTTTTAATGAAAACAGCTGAGGAGCTCCCAGCCATACTAAGATGCCACCAACTGCTGAGTGAGCCCAAATCAGTCACCACATCAGCAATTTTACCATGTTTAATGTCCAGCACTGATGACAATACTGAATTTAACCAGAACATAGGAAAAGCAAACAAACAAAAAAGAATCCAACCTAGGAAGATGCAGACAACATATGCTAATAAAGATCCAATTCAACATGCAGAATTACTTACAGAAAAACACTGAGAGCAACTACCACTTCTGCAAACATTGAAAATGCGCAGAAATCTCATAAACAATTTGTTACCTGTACTCGATTGGCAGCAGCAGCATCACTAGACAGCCCTACGGGAGTTGGCAGCTGGTTCCCCATGCTAAATCTAGAAGAGAAAGGAGAGTGTCAGACCCACAGGCTTCACACAAATGGCACAAAATTACAATCACAGACTGTGTTAAGGGGTGGTTTCCTCCGACCCATCCTAGGGCCTTCCTCTGTTCAAGTACGTAACAGGGCTTCTCCCTTGCACATAAAGAGCCCAATTCAGAGGCTGATCAAAGGGGCTGCCTTTATACATAAGGGTGTTTTGTTGTTTTGGGGCTTTTTGGGGGGAGGGTTACGCGGACAACACGTCAACCCCAGAGGCCGGCACAAGCGGACGCCACCTCCCCGCCG